GAAAAACTTAAGTTATATATAATATAGGCCCTTCTTTTTGTCAACCAATTAATAAATGGTGTATTGGTTAGTGGGTCTAATAAAAAAAAAGACTTGTTTTAAGTTTAAAGAATATTAAAATAGTGTTTAAAAAATCGATTTGACCAACTCTTTTTTTTAAAAAAAAATGAAGAAAAACTTAAGTTATATATAATATAGGCCCTTCTTTTTGTCAACCAATTAATAAATGGTGTATTGGTTAGTGGGTCTAATAAAAAAAAAGACTTGTTTTAAGTTTAATTTATGTAGGCAGTAAATTTTTTGAATCAATGACAAAAGATTAGTTTCAAGTTGGATTCCCGTGGGCAGTAAATTTTTTTGAATCAACAACAAAATACTTGTTTCAAGTTCAACTCCTGTGGGCAGTAAATTTTTTGAGTCAACAACGAAATGAATTCGAAATTTTTTTGAATCAACTACGAAATGATTTTGAATTCAAAAAGATTTGTTTCAAGTTCACATGCAATTTAACCGTCAACGCTAACATTCTAACATATCTGCTATAAATTTGAAGTAGTATTGTATCTAAAGCTCAAAATATCGGTTGGTCATCAAAACTGCCGAAAACCGGAACCGACAGTTCCGATCTAACCGGGCGATTACTAGTTAGATCGATCGGTTTTACGAACACTAGTCCGGATTCAGATCCAAATCCTATATACGGATATATGACGTTCGTATTCTTGTCTAATGCAAAATCTATTTTTTGGGAGAGAGAGAGAGAGAGAGAGGTGGGGTGATGCAATAGCTATCTTTGTAGAGAGAGAGAGAGAGAGATGGAGAAACGAGTGTTACGTTCCACACGTTGATGACGACTCGTTGGATGTAGTTTTTGTTTTCGTAGGCGACCTTTGAAGCCTTCATGCAAAGATCCACGAGACGTCTCTCGCTGAAAATGGCATCGTTTCCTTCAAGGGAAGGGAGGGGAGAGTAGAGAGAGTCTTTGTACAATTCCTCCCTTCCGTCAACAAGAGAAATGATCGACCGATAATCACCCGATTCAGGAACCGGCAATACTGTCTTTCCTACAGTATCACACACAGTTCAGTTTAGAGACAGAGAGAGAGAGAGAGACATTTTGTGATAAAAAGTGTTTATTTAGGTATGCTGTCTTTAGAGAGAGAGAATGAATAAAGAGTAATTCACATACGGGTAACAAATGAAATGGGTGGGTTAATTTTGAGCGAAAATTATAAAGAAAGTAGGTCAACTTGTTTGTTTTTTTTTTCTCTAAAATTGTCTCTTGGTTTGAAGGTGGACCACTTTTTATTTTTAATTTTTTTTGTTAACAGGGCTCGGTTCCAGAACTGTGTGGGGATGGAGATCTCCGATTTCTCTAGAAATGAGCTCTGAGCCTGAATCAATTCACTGCTTTAGATCTGAGCTCTAACCCTTAGTTCTCAAGCAGTCTGAGGTCCCTAATCATGGACAATTCTTTGTTTGTTTTTTGCTGAAAAAAAGAGCGGTCTGGCGACTACTCTAGAGTTGAGCTCTGAGCCCTAAAGCTCTAAATCGGTATAAAGTCCCCATTCTCGAACCGCTCTATGTTCCCGATTTTTTGACGAAAAGAGCGGTCGGAGGATTGGGACCTCGACTGCTCGTTAGACAGAACCAGATGAGCCCTACTAATGAAAGAACTAAAAAACAAATAATTAAAAATAGGTCCAAAGATGGCATGCACGGAACCAAGAGAAAAAAAAAATAAAGGTTGACAAGACTTACAGTGTAATTTTTGTCCAAAACCCATATTTTTCTATTTTTTGGTCCTTACATAAATTACTCGTGAATAAATGAATTTGTGAGAAGAACAGAGTGTTTGTTAAGTGCGTACTGTGGTTCCAGCAATATGAGAGAGAAAGAGAGAAGAGAAAGCGCGTGTATTATGTGTGTGAGAGAGTATCCGTGTTTTTGTGTGTGACCGTGATTATATAAGAGAGAGAGAGAGAGAGAGAGAGAGAGAGAGTAATTGTGAAGAAAAGAGTGCTTATCCATGTCTACTGTATTTCCTGCAATATGATAGAGAGAGAGAGAGAGAGTGCAGTGTCTATTAGAAAGAGAAAGCATGTGTACTACCTGTGTGAAATAGTATATGTGTGCAATTATTGTATAAGAGAGTGTGTGTGTGATCTGTGTGCGCGCATGTGTGTGTAGTTTTTGTAGGGAGATCATTTTTGTGTGTGCCTGGGTGTGTACTCGAGAGAAAGAGAGACTGTGTGTGCACGCGCGCTTGTGAGTGTGTGTGCCTCTGTGTGTGTGCAGTTTGTGTAGGGAGATAGTTTTTGTGTGTGCGCGTGTGTGTGCTTGAGAGAGAGACTGTATGTGGATGTGAGAGACTGTATAGATGTGTGTGCGCGCTTGTGAGTGTGTGTAGTTTGTGTAGGGAGGTAGTTTTTGTGTGTGTGTACATGTGTGTGTGTGTTAGGGAGAGAGAGAGATTGTGTGCGCGGTTGTGCGTGTGTATGTGTGTGTGTGCGCACGTGCTTGTGGGAGTTTGTGCATGTTGTGGGCGTGTGAGAGAGAAAGGATAATCAATCTCAACCATACAAGCAAGTTTCATGACAAGGAGAAGACAATCCAAGAGAATAAATGGTTAAGAAGTGGTGATGAAACCTTCAATTATGTTTGTGATCAAGCCTAGGATACCACCATTAATGGACAAAAGATTAAGCCCATACTCAATGGCACCACCAAAGATCTTCAAGGGTTGACTGATAAAAGCAAGGATTTTTCTCAATATTAGAGCGAGAATAACTAAGAATGTATTGTCACCACTTTCATCTTTGAAGAGCCATTCATACTCAGGATCAACAAAGCTTAGGTTTGCATTAGATCTAGAGAAGAGGAGGAGGACTAGCTCCAAAAACCCTATTCTTTCTGGGTGATAAATGAGAGAAGGAATGGGCTTTGCAGCTGCCATTGATGAGAAAGAAAGCTGATTGATAAGAGAGAAAGCCAATGGGGATGCTGAATTCCTCCATTGAAGCTGCTTATATAGCCAAAATTGGTTTTTTTTAGATTTTTTTTTTTTTAAAGAGACTCATTGACTTTTTACTTTTCTTCAAGAAAAGACTTATTAACTTTTACTTTTGATGTAGTGGGTCCCATTTAACCCTAATATACTCCATAAGAAACAAAAGAAAAGGACCATGTGATTAACGTTTTATTTGCATTTTACTGTCCTAATTCACCCTTTTTTTTTTGAGTTTGGGCAGTGATTTCATGCAATGATGGTATGAGAATATATAATTTTCAAAAAATCATGTAAGGGCTATTTGTTTGATTCAAATTTTAAAATATACATTTTTTTCATTCTAATAAACAATCACAAAAAAGGAAAATTTGATAACGTAACTTCAAAAATAATTTTTTAGCTCAATTAACAAAAGCTGTCAATTTTGATAAATGCTTAGATTAAGGCCTTATAAGTATTTATTCTTTTCAATTTTTTTTAGATGACTCTATTATTATTAGATGAACAATGTTAAAAAAAAAAAAAAAAGATTTTGAATTTGTAAAGGCTAAGATCTTGAAATTCACCAAATGAATGGTTTAGATTCGTTGTTGGAAGGCACTCATTTTGACCACATCTAGAATTCAAATCAAACTTTTTTTTTGGGATTGAGTATTAAGATGAAGAAAGTGCGTGTGCAAAACTTTGGATCATACAAATGCCACAAACATGATTTTCTAGATGTGTGGTTGTACTATACTATGATACAACCGTTGTATGAAATCATTGCCTTTTAAGCTTTTGATGTGATGTTTTAAAAGGCGTATTTCGAAGCCACTAGTAACTCCATGGAATTTAAATGGATTTTAAAAAAAAATTATCAAAATACATAAAAGAAATCATCATCATTTTCATAGTGTTTTTTTCAATTAACTAAGGTCATCTGCATGAATTATGGTCCACCATTCTGTTCTATTAAAGGCCATAGTCTCTGTAAACCTGTAAGTCTCATATCTTTCCGAACTAATTTCAACCACGTCCTTTAAGGCATACCACTTACTTTTTTAAGTCATTTCATTTGAACTAACTCGTACCTCCTAAAAGGTGTTGTACTTGGTCGGCGCCAGCCCACCTAAGTCTACTTTCTCTCATTTTATCGCTTAGTGGTATCACATCTAAATTCTCTCGAATGGATTCATTTCGAATTCTATCTCTTCTTGTCTTATCACTCATTTATGGCAATCAATACAGAAATATACCCAATGATACGTGGAAATAGGAAGATTTTCTTTTCTTCTCTTTTCAAATTAGGGTTAGGTCAATATATGAAAAAAAAGATACCCAACTTTACTTAGGAATAGGAAGAAATATTAGATTTTTTTTTTTCTTTTCCTTTATCTTGGCTATTGGGTTTCACTGGAAGTCCAAATTGGGCTGCGGTTGAAGAAGAGAAAGAATGAGATCATAATTCGCCGAGGTTACTTGCCATACGTACAATTAAACAGGGAGCCAAGGTTATAAAGGACTAAAGGAGATGAAAAAATATAAAGTTTTATTTATTTATTTATTTATGGACACCTTTTGTATCTTTTTATTACTATTTTATGTATCCCCACTAACACCTTTTTTTTGTCTCTAAAGTTGTCTTCGTGTCTTGCAATAACAACACTGGTGATAAAGATGGGGATGTACTTTTGGGGGAGTATGGTATAAGTTTACTCCCTTGGTAAAAAATCCTATTTGGGAGGATTTTTTTTAATTTAAAATTTTGGGAAGCATTTAATAATTTTTAGATAATTACTTTCAAAAATTAAATTTTGATATTTGTGTTTTCTAATACTTGGATCTGACCCTCTAAATATTGAATGGTCTCTATTCAATCTTGAGACAAATTATTTTTTTCAATTGTGAAGAGGGTGTAATTAGAAAAGTTTTTTTATTCAAGGGTTTTTTTAAATTATGTAGTTTTATTTGAGGGAGTAAATGAACAGAATAATATCTTTTGATCAGGCTGCACATGGGTCTTTAAAAGAAAGAACGGGCAATCAAAGGGGGCCATCTAAAAAGAAGAGATCGCTAAAGACAAAGAGGGTGACAGTTCCAGGGTGCTTTTTTTTAATTTACCAAAGAAATTTATAGTCCTTCAGGAATATATTGTTCATTTACTCCCTCAGGCAAAACCACCACACCTAGGATTGATTTAAGGAACCCAATTTTTTAAGGATAGAAACTTTTTAACCCATAGATTAGTCTCAATGAAAATTTTCTAATCGAACCCTCTATACACTTGAAAAAATAATATCTCAAGATTGAACGAAGACTGTTCAATTTTTAAAAGGTAAAATCTAAGTGTTAGAAAACTCAAAATTTAACATTTGAAAATAATCATCTAGTGATAATTAGGTGGGTCTAAAATTTTAAATTAAAAAAAACCCTCCCAAGTAGTTTTTCTACCAAGGGAGTAAACTTATACTAAATTTCATCAGGTAAGTCTCCCTCTTTAATTTAACCGCGAAGCATTTAAGGAGTGTGTGGGGTTTATTACCTATCCGTATCATTATTGTTGAATAATAGAGAAATTTAGTAACAACAATGCCACGAAGGAATGTGTGTTCTTCGTAGTTTTTTAAAAAAATAACACCAAATGATAATAAAAAGACACAAAATGTGTCCGTACGTAAAAAGCTCAAAAATATAATTAGTACTTAAACCAATAAAATCAATAAAGACGATGAGTATCCAAAAATACACTTCAAGGCTTGTGCATGACAGTCTTTAATTCAAGTTTTGAATTTACATGCTCGAAGACATGCTTATGACAACATCGAGAAATAATGCATTATGCTTCCAAAAAATGATATCACAACATCCAGAAATGATGCATTATGCTTCCAAAAATTATCAAGTTAGGAAGACATGACATTATCGATACGAATAGGAAGAAATTATTTCAAGAATATACCTAACTTTTCAACAATTCAACAGATCACTCATTTTCAACCATTTCAACACATGGTCATGTGCATCTTGATGGGTATTTTGAAAACGAAGCAAAAGATATGGATTGAATGTTCAATCATTATGAAAAATGGTTTGATAGGGTTGCAACACTATCAAAATAAGTAAATCCTTACCTCATAACTCACGAAAATTGCAAGTCAAGCATTGAAAAACCTTTACATCGCTCATCTCGACTTGGACATTAGAGCCGAGACTCTAAACAATCAAAGTAAAGTGCACCTTCAAATAGTGTCGAGAAATGTGGTTTCAATGCTGGAAATATTTGTGATAGCCTTACAATATATTTTCATCTTTAATTATAAAATTTAAAGCTTCAAAAATAGTATAGATCAAGCATTTATATGAAAACTTGAAAATTGATTGTCCAAAAAATGCATTACTATTTTCAAAACTTGAAATCTTTTTTTTTTACTCTCATATTTATACATCTCGATATCAAGATGATCAATTTGGAGATATTTGGGCATCAAAACAATCTCTTCTAGTTAAATTTTTGAAGTGGGCTCTACTTTGATGTTTTAGAGCCTTGGCTCTATATAAACTTTTTTCAAAAATTACAATTTCAAGCTCTAAAAATAGTGTATATTATAAAAAAGTTATCTAGACCATCCATTTTGCTTTAAAAACAAATGTTCACATATCTGCTAGATCTGTGTCATTTTTTTAGTTTCAAATTTTATTGTCGGTGTTGAAAATTAATTTTAGAACCATCATAAAGATTTTCATAGTGGAAAGTATTTTCCCGATGACGATTTGAGGTGAGGCTTTATTTTGTTTTCTTAAAGCCTAGGCCTTATAGAAACCTCATCCAATAATTAATCTCTTACGTATATTTTTCATAAATTTCCAGTTGTCGATATAAAAAGTGAAGGGGGTTACATGCTTGCATCCTTGGTTCATATTTCTCTCTCATTAATCCTATGTTTGGAGATGGTTGGGTGGGTACATACTCTCTCTCCCTCTCCCTTTTCCCCCTCTCTCTCTCTTATAGATAATACATAGAAGCCACAATCACTGGTAAGTGGATTTCACATCGGGTGTTTGTAAGGATTAGAGTTAAAGTTCAAATACGAAATTTTGAATTTTGTATCACACCCCAAGCCATCCAATAAAGCATCTAATGGATAGCAGTAATTGTGATCTCCTTACAATAAAGATAAATAGACTCATAGTATACATTCGTGTGTGTGTGTGTGTATATATATATAAAATATCCTGTCAGCCAACGACACAGATTGAATCTGGATCTAATCCAATAGTCACGACTTCATTTCGTATTTGAACTTTTAAGTTTTTTTTTATACAAATTCAAATTATTTGAAATTTTGAGGGTATATTCTTAAAAAATAGTAGAATCTAATAAAAATATTAACAATAATAATTCAAAAAATATAAATTAGCCAAAATACCCCTGAAACATTTTGAAAGTATTTTGGTCAATTTATATTGTATGAATTTTTTTTATTTGTTTTTATTAGGCGCCTTTGATGAGTAGAATGTACACCTAAATTTTCAAGTGATTTGGATTTATAGAAAAAAAATTAAAATTAAAATACGAAATAAGGTCCTGACCGCCAGATCCGCCAAGATTTAATCTGGGCCATTGACTGACACTGTAGCAGTCAGCCCGTGGGTTGATAGCATTCATTCCTATACGCTCATACGCGTATTGCTACAGTAAATGCCTACGGCTTAGATTGAATCTGGGCCGATCTGACAACCCAGATTTGGTTGTGCTATAGACATGATTTGAGGGTTTTTGGTCCATTAAATATTTTCAAAAAAAAATAAAAGTAAGAGAAAGTATTGGGTTCATCCAAGGTTTTAAAAACCTATGATCCATATTGGAACTAGTCAGGCCGATTTAGATTTCGCTGAATATCAGGAACCAGTGGGTTCTAGCTGGTTTTCTAGCCAATTATGTAAGAAAACCAGTCTCATTTTATTTTTTAATATTTGTCAATTTTATTCTTTAT